ACACCACCGCGGTCGTTTGATAGTCTGTAGCACCGGAAGCACGAGTAACTCCGATCTGTATTTCCTGGGCCGTTACCTCAGGATTCAGCCAGGTCTCAGCCTGTCCTATTACGTCTAGCCGATTAGAGGCGACGAAGTGGTACAGATCGTCACGTTTGTTCACTAAACTGTAAACATTAGTGAAGGCCAAGCGCAGGCCACAGTAGGAACCGCCAATTGCGGATGAACTACCGTAGACCTGTTTAGCCGGTTTCGGCGTAACCCATGGCTTACCCGAAAATTTCTTATGTGGAGTCTTCCTACTATTGATACGCCGCTTTAGCCTAACGATAGCGGATTTGAGTTCCTCCCGGTCTGACGAAGCCATATTTGGGGGAATATGGATTTTCCGACCTCTAAGCTTATCGAGGCGGAATAGTATCATCCTCTGACTGGTTTCATTAACGAAAGTAACTCGCCGAAACCGAGCCTTCTTCTCATCTCTATTTCCAAGATTTGCTTCACCATCAACTCCTGTTGCTTATGTCGAGTAGTCTGTCGATCAGACGACAGAAACTCGACATCGTTGTCAAAGCAAGCCTGAACATTCACATCAGTTGACTCAGGCGCATGGAATATCATGCGCTTGGAACGCTGCTTGTCGTTAGCATTTACTCTCTTTCTTCCTTCGTTTCATTTCCACTGACCTTCATCGCTTACGCTATCGCACAGCGGGCCGTTGATACCCGTAGGACGCACACCAGCAGAGCCTCATGTAGCGGATAGACATCGTTCCATTGAATTATTTGACATTTTTGATCGTTAGACTGCTGGAACGTTGGTGCTTGGCATACTCTGCAACGGTACGTGGTTAAGCATCATGACCTTCTAACCCATCAGTTATCACGTTTCCTCCATCAGTCACTTGAGGTTATCTATTAATCTTGCTGCTGCCTTGTCCTTACTGTGCAGTAAGAGATATCGGATGCATCAGGCTGCGTAGACGACTTTCTGGCAAGCATTGCAGAGTGTTCATTGAATACTCTTCATGGCCGTGCATGTCAATGAATACTGCAGTCAATGTCTTTGTAAGGCTGTACGGAGTAGTAAAGACACGCGGTCGGTTACATTTATTTGTTGTCAGTTTTTCTGACTTTCGTACGACATTCCCAGATCAATACGCATCGAATGAATCATTTTGTGGGATTTGCAGCAAATGAGTTTGCTACCTCCAAAACGTCGGAGACCTGATATTGTTGGCCAAGTTCCTCGATAAGGCTCGTTCCTCACCATTTTACATGATAAAAGCACAAGGAGGACGCTTTTGATGTACAAGTCAGCATCGCACGATGACCCAATAATTATTTAGCTTCTAGCAAAACTAACCTACTCTGGTATAGCATAAGTTTGGGACTCAACACCTAGTTTCTGATAGTTGCTCTTTTCTTGATCTAGCTCGTTGTCCCATTAACTTGAGATCGTGCAGATTCAACGTTTGCCTTGGGAACCAGTGTGCTTTCCTCTCATTTCATATCGGCGCACTAACAAGTGCATCATTGTGTTCTTCCTCATCGTCACCATTGCTATGGTTTTATCGTGCGATTGCTTCTTCTAATTAGAACAACGCTTGAAACCTTTCACTTTACCCTAATATATGCTGTGAGTGTTAACTGACTGTTCTTCAGGTGGTAATCTGCGGCACAAGATGATCTGACTGTTCTCTAGATCCCCATTGTACCGTGCATTCTGCGTCACAGACTCTCGAATGGGAACATCCCACCAACGTTCAGTTACTACGAAATACTCCGCAACCCTTTCCTTGTCTATGGCGATGTGTCTCACGCAGGAGAACGCCACACACTCATCGTCCTTTTCCAAGCTTGCAGCTGAAGCCAGCTTTGGTTTTCTTTGGGAGTCTTAATGTCAACACAGCACAAAACCGTGTCACGTTATCTCACCTAACCTATTCACCGAAAGACGCAAAGGGAGTGGCGAAAATGTTATAGTCCACCGTCTCCTGACGGAACAGGCATGCTTGTAGCAAACTCTGGCGGCTTCAATCCGACTTTATTTGATGCGCTTGTTTTCCATCGCCTGTAGAGCTTGTCTCCTTTGGTCAGTCAGCATAGATGAGCTCCCTTAAATCACGGCATATTGTTCATTGACTTAAGTAAGTCGCCTGCACCGCTTTTGTTAACCACACGACTCTGCACTTTTGGTATACTTCACCGCTCCGAGGACCAGGCACTACACTTTCCATACTTGTTCTCAGCCAACTGCCTGGGACTTCTGCAGTTTCCACTCATTACGACTCGTTTCTTTGCTCATCTCATCCCCAGTCCTCCTTCTGTTGCCATTCTCTTGCAGGCGCTTGTTGTCATATGCAGGCAAATTTGACAGACAGCTCCTTCATTTCAAGGTTGGTGACGCGGTGTGTGCGCGAGATTTCCGAATACCGAGGAGCTTTTCGACAGGAACAGTGATCACCCATAATGCTCAAGTCATTTACGAGGTAATGGTTGCAAATGAGAAATAGGTCAGGCACACCAACCAGCTGAAGCCGGATCACGGAAAGGCTCAAGGTCCTTCAGAACCGTCATCCTTGCCGTGGACATCCTGTTAGACACGTTTAGGTTGGAAAATGGGGACAAGCGGATAAGTGGATAACATCTTCAACCGCAAGCATCAGACAACACATGATGAAGGCTGACCAGGGAGGGAAGACTACGACGATGGCTGCTGATCGATCCCTATTCAAAGGAGATACGTACAAAACTAGCCACGTATGATGCGCAAACAGTTTCAATATGACAAGGGAGGTGTTGAAGGAGCGAAATGGCCAAATGCTGAGACGCACTTTAGCGATTTCCCAACAGGTCGGCACACTCAACGAACTCTTTCTCGCGTAGGTGGCCGTGCCAAAAATCCAGTGAGACGTGTGGTCGTTGTACGACCCTTGCCAAAATTTCTGGACCGCGACACATGAGAAATCATACTGACGACAAACTGCCAACTTACTGGCGACGTCCATACATGAGTACCGCATCATTTGCCCCACGGGTGTGGGCGAGATCACACGTTGGCCGGGACGCTAAGCGGTAGACATCAGACTAACTTGACATACAGGGGCAAGGTTGCGGCCAAAACGTCAGTGTGATGGCGCGCGTCTGGTTTATAAATAGGACCGTTTATAGCTCCAATGGAACCTTTCCGGTCAGCCAATTTGTATTTTATGGTTTTTCCCCTGCCGGGTTTGATGGGCGTTGTACGCAGAGAGCAGAGGCAGAGCAGCGTTACATCACTGAAGCAGATGATGTACCTGAGTTACGTTCGTGCTTCTATTTATGTTATTGGAATCACTAATTGAGTGCTTCCCCTGAGTAGCACACACATCACCCTTCTTTCAGAACATTAGAGATTATTCTCGCTCCCTAAACATTTATTCCATTACTTGGTATTCCGATTTTCATTGGATTATCGAGCATGCCTGTGGAATGCAACACTTAATTGTTAGGGTCAGAACCAATCTAGCCCGAGTGAAACCCAGGGTCTGGAAACCACGAAGCCAAATGACACCACCGAGCTTTGTTCGAATTTGTTACTGTGCATAAAAGCACGAATAAATAACTGATATATAGATGAACTTTCATTCCCGACAATGCGAGGCACGCTTGTATCGGCATGATCACAGGTGGATCAGGAAAGTTGAATTTCAGATCCGATAATGACGTTCGAAAGGACAGCAAATACATAATCAATGGTTGACTGGATCGCCGGCTCGTAGCCTTAAGTGTCATAAGGCTGCGTAGTAAATTGAGGTCGCGGGTTCGAGTCTGCGTTGGGCATCGGGCGCCCACCGCAGTATCCTTAGCCCACATGTGACTGGTGTTGGTTGCGCGGCAGCGAAGCGTTGCTACTGAGTACCGGCGTACTGCTGATGCCTTTGATTGAATCGTAATGATGTTTGCTGTCCTTTAACCGTTCTCTCACATATAAAACACTTAAATCACATGTGAGAATATCTGGGTGAAACATATACCGTGTTCTATGAAAGCTGGACCCCGTTTGTATGCTTGACTAGTTTTTATAGAACACTCAAACAGTTTCATCCTCTTCCGTATAGACAAGAACTTGTTGATGCTTTTGCAAAATTCATGTTCAAATATTCAGGCACGTATTCCGGGGGTTAGCTTGTTCCATACTCTGGCGTATGTGTTAAGATAAAACTTGGCACACCTGCTTGCCACTGAGCTCTGATTCTTTCGTGTGTTGTATACCGCTGATTGCATTAACATCAAGTTCAGGATGGAAACGTGCCTATTTCTATGCTAAACTGTCAACAGCTGGCCATGTGCAGAATTGTAATGTTCCCACCAAACCCATGAACAGTGAACAGTGTTCTCGTCGCTTGGCCCACGAGCATCCTACATCTGTTAACGTTTCGCCTCATCTATAATCACATAAATTTCAACTGTAGATTGTGATGTGTATTCGGCATTTACCTTTCTCGCACATGTTACTTTGCCGGCGTTTTGTTTACTTCACGAAGACACCCTGCTTGACCAGACTCCCGTGTTCCGGCATACCACAGCGAATCATTTATGAATTCAGGGAACCCATCCTATTCCAACCATCCCTAAGGTCACGGCGCTAATGTTGGTTGGTCCCTTCGTACCGGTGGCGACGGCCTTTCATCCTTACTTGCCCTCAACTTGTAACCCGATGACCGATTTCGTTCTCTTTTAAGCTCCAGTAGAAATTGTTCATCCCGGGTTCCAGCCATCAGTCTCATGGCCACCTTGTTCACCCCATCAACTTAGATTCACTGTTATCGTTTACGATGCCGAGATGTGAACACGACTAAGCACGGCTTTGTTTATAGAGTATTACTCGAATTAACTAATTTCATTTCGTATCTGAAATGATCGCGCAATGATTTGAGCCGTCTGATTGTGCATTATCCGTCTTCACCTATTCCGGAAGTGCATCCATTACTTTTTGTGCATCTCTTTCTCGAGCAGGACATGTACAACGAGCTGATCAAGGACACCTCAAACTCCTTCATTCCTCGACGGCGTGTGTACACTATTCGTGGCCTTCTGGTTAGCCTACTATCCTCCCTGGAGCATCATCAGGGCACTCGGTGGACCTTGGCTGCTCGTCTCGCAGACGGCAGCGCAACCGTTGATGTAGACATCTCCTCTGAACTCCTGACCGAGTGGATTGGTCTGACCGCTTCGGAGAGTGAATCACTTCGACAAATGAGCCGCGCTGCTATGGGTGGGTCGAATCCGAACGCTTTGGCTGTTCAAGAGGCAAGTGAACCTACTCATGATTTTAAAACTTGACTTAACCAACCCGACTCTAACATTATGTTGAATCCCGTTGTGCAGTAACAGTTGTGCACGATAACATGTTGTATCCGGTTGTGTTTTGAATTAATCGTTGGACGCAATCTAAGGCCTCACACGTTATGTTCTTCAGCACATGTCGGAGGTATCCTAATCGCGCTTCTACAGGCGCATGTCGCGGCGCGATTCGTGTGGTGGTTACATGCAAGCAGGCCCAGACAGCTGCTGTGAGACAGTGGCCCCGATAAATTCACTATGTGCATGTCAACTTTTCTTTTATGATGGCTGTTAAACGTGTCATTTTGCGTCATTACACTACCGCTTGATTGCTGACACTGGTGGTGGTGGTCTTTGGCACTCAACATAGTTATGGCTGTAACTGGTAAGTGATATTTCAAACCACTGTACGTTACTGTAAGATTCGAAGCCTTATCAGACAGCCGATTCCACAATTCTGTATGTGCGAGCGATATTTGGACACATTACTCGCATGGGTAGAAATTTGGGCCACTGGGCGATCCAGCCATCTCCACAACCCGTTACGCGGAAGCTTGCTGTTATATGTAGACAGACATATATTTTGGCTACCCCAGAGCTTAGAGCATCAATAACGAGAGGTGGTTAGGGACGTTACTACCTTTAAACTAGCGAGTTATTATGTATTTAAGCTTTCTGCTGCAGACTCACACCTAACGATGTTGGCTTCGGTTATTCCCAATGCAACGCAAATTATTACGGGAATCCAACGTGGGTTATACCAACAATCGGAGTGTTGCCATTTAGTGAGACGTTGCTCAAAATTTTACTGGAACTTGAATGGTTGCCTGAACATTTTTATTGTGTGGTCACTGGAAGTGATTGATCTGTAACTCCAAGTCACTTTGGAATCAGTCGCTTCATCCTTCTAACGTCCATCGTTGTATGGATTAGCAGAATTGTGGTGTTTCTCTACGCAAACCGGTTAAGTGCACGTTGTTCGAACGTGACCGAAGTTACCGAGTCAGCACACTTGTTCTTTTGGATCGCAAGCCACATATTTCCATCTTATCCCGATGTCCCGAGGTTCCCCATTGGCGAAAATGATGTCCGTGACTACAACATTTCTCTAATCGGTTTCGTACATGACTCTGAGGCTCAGACATCTGCTTGCGAGAAGTGAATGGTTATCTCGAAACTCACTAGACGAATGAATCGTTTGGCGCAAACGAGCAGTATGCTTCTAAATGACCGATTTGTTCTAGTTGTATGAATGTACAGTTGTTTTATTTGAGCCCCCCTATTCCCTTAAAATAAATCTTTTGAGCACAGGACAGCTGCCGTCTCTCAATAGTCGCGTAATTTTTCTCTCGATAGCCTGCTATCTGTAACCGTTTAGTGTCCACACAAATATCGGTGTCCTGACTCTGAATGTTAACTGAGTGTATCCCAGTCCTGCCACGAATGGACTAGCAGCTCTGTTGTCCATTCTTACTGGGATCACATTTGCTTATTAATTAGTACCTAACAGAGACAGACCGTTACACGGTATTGATAAACTACTCCTGTTCCTAATTTGGCTATTGAAGTCGCTGTGCACTGCGTACTCAAAGTTCCACCTACTTCCCCACCATGGTACCCACTACTCTTGGGGCTGTCGGCAGACAGACATTCATTCCGAAATGACGGTTTCTATTGGTTTTAGCTCGCCCTCCTAACCTCCAATGCAGAGTACTCAGCTCATCTGTGTATGTAAGTCCATATTTTTACTTGCGAAAGCGTTGAGGGAGTTTTCACGGTCGAAGTGTGAAGTCATCGGAGTGACTGTCGGTTAAGTGATGACCGCGTTTTCTTCAATCTCCATTTGTCTGTAACCGCATATGGGAGCTCGGACCTCGTCACCAATCCGGGTTGTTAGGTTGTTCATGGACACGACGTTGAAGCGCCTTCCTTAAGGTATCAAGGCGCCTCCAAACTTGCGTCGTTACAGACCTGTGAAAAAAGCATGGAAGTCAGCGCAGGAATTGAACGTGCATTAAGTTAAATTGACTGGTCATGACGGTCGGACTTTCACAGGGCTTTGGTTTGCAGCTGTGTAATCTGAGTTGCGCATTAACACGCATACCGTTTGGACTAAGCACCGGAATGTTATCGGTTGCTTCACACCGGTACAATGATTGTCTTTTAAAAGTCACACCTTCACATGCCCCCACGTCACAAGCCTTCAAAGCCATTCGTAACCACATCAGTCGACACGGATCACAGCGCACATGCTCGGTATGCATTGCGCTAAACCGGTCGCCTGATCAGCCACGTGTGGCTACCTCAGTTATTAGATCACAATTTCAATCAATGCCAGGCGCCTTGTGACGCAATTGTCAAAAATTTCGCTTTGTCTGGTGCATCCGAGCCTTTACATGTATGCATTGGTGCACGGTATTGAGCTTTCATATTCTTAGAACCTTGTATCAATCTTAGCAAAAAGGGAAGAAGATGAGAACCGCAGTTCGATTTTTCCGATCACCTGCAGATTAGAGACATATGTCGTTCAAGTAAGAGAAAAATCAATCGTTTTTGGTTCGGATCTGAAGAGAACACACCTAGAGAAAAACAAACAGACTAGCGAACTGAAGGCAAAGGTCATGAACCCCCAGGGACCTTTTGAGCAGCGATTAGCTGATTCCGTACCCAAATGGTAGGACCTTGGTGGTTGAGATTCACTACTTCGGCAACAGACACGTTGGCTTTTAATTTCGACACACACACACACTCGTAAACGCCTAGTCAAGGTGGACTTGATAACCTGTTCCGAATAGGTCTTTCGCCTTGGATGAGACCTGCAGCCATGCAGGACGTTTCAGTTGCAGACGTTTATTTGACAAGCTAGGCAATATCATCGGTGCGGCTTTCACGGTCTGAGTCGCAGAGCCTCCTAAGCCAATGTCAGATCTGATTTGCTATTGATCGTACCCTGCTTTAAATGTCAGCTGTCGATTGACTCACGTGAGTCTGTCAAGTGATCGCCTTTTCACCCTGTCGGTCTGCAGAGCTACGTATACACTCTCTAGCTCCAGGTGCTTGTTGACTGAGTTCTGGCCCGAATGCCAGTCCTCGATGAACTCAAGCTTCCCTCGGCTCCTTGCTTTTCTAAGTATCTTAACGTTTTTCCGATTGAATTGGTGATCCTCGACATCCATATGTACTGACATTAACGATTTCTTATCACGAAGACGGATAGGCAGGCTATGCTTGGGAATTCTCGTGCCGAGCTTTCTTCTAGTCTGGCCCACATAGTACTTGTCACAATACTTGTAAGAAATTTCGTAAACCACACCCGATATTTCTCCCTTACTCAGTTAGTCCTTTACATCCAAAAGTTTGCTCTGAATAGTTTCCGTTGCTTTATGCGCAACATTCATCTCGTGAGGCATTAGAAGCTTCGTTACCATCTCAGAAATGTCATGAATCATTGAGCATTGAACAGTGATGTTTCACGGGAATAAAGTAGGTAGCACTCGTGCAACTCGTAAGACACCGGTTGAAGAGAGCGAGATAATCCGCGCGCACTGTTGTAGAACCAGTGGGGTTAAAATATCTGTTCCGGCAGCTTAGTAGTCTTCTATTTTTTGAGTTCCCTTTAAACATCCAAGCGATCAAGGGAGACTGCGGGACTTGTGTTGGTGAAGGAGGGCCGGAGAATATATGCACTGTGTGGAAGAATAAAACTAAACATTGAGTTTGTCCACATTCACGTTATTAAGATGTTCTAGGGAACTGCTGCCGCTCAGCTGCCTTAAAAGCCTCCAAAGGCCGAACAATCGTGAATACATAACAATTTTGTTTTATAAACTTTTCGGTCGTATTATCAGGGATAGTCGTTTAACCTGGGCAGATATTTTGAGTTCATAGGCCCGTTCTTTCTTTCGTCTAAGTCGCTTTAATCATAGAGAAATAAATCTGTCCATGCGTTAGTAGATCGTTTCAGCACGGCAGCATGGGACGAGATAGAAGTTTGATATATTCGATAAGTTGTTCACACTCTACAGAGAGGTTTTCGTCCATGAGAACTGAAAAGTTAGTTGAGGCCAACGTGGAAGACACTAAGTTATATTTGTGAAAACAAAATCCAGCTGTGCGACAACTCTGGTTTCGAAGGATACCATATTCTTTACTCCAAGTGTCTTAGTGAATGTCGTATCACTTTTGTTAAAGTCACCAGCAATGATACAGACAGAGCGCTGTTTTAGACAGTAACCCTGGAGGGAAATGATTTGCAAAAGGTTTGAGCTCAGATGGTGGTGTTTCGGGAGCTATGTAGATGTATCCGATGACAACAGATAGGAATCCACGGAGAAATTTCGGTTTACACTCGATTACATGACAGCTGATTTTTGATGTTGAGTATGTAGACAGCAAAACCATAGGATTCCACCATGGTTGATTGACATAAGTGATAACCCCGCCGCGATTCTGCGGCTTTCCGAGGCGGTCGGACTTTACGACGCGGCATCCATCGAGTTGCATAACATCGTCCACATCAGAATGTGACTAGCTTTCTTGTAACATTATAATACCTGTGTTTGCGTATTCTTTACGCGGCATAGTGGCACTGAGGTCAGCAATGTCACCAGGGAAAGGGCGCACATTGCTGGAGAGAATAAGCAGGATTTACACTCTGTTTATAGAGCAGAGTCTGACTCCAGCTTGCTAACCAGTACGGTGCTTTCTCGTTTTACCAGTTTTTTTCCTTCGTTTGGCGGTGTTTCTGGCTTTGTAACCGCAGTTTGCTTGAACCATTTCAAAAAATCGTCAACGTAGTATAACGTTGATGACCTCAGAATTATTCAGATAAACAAATTGCGAGAACAGAGCGTAAAAAGTGATAAATTTGCACTAGATAGCGTAAAACGGGTACTCCAAGGAGTAACAGCAATGGACCATTTGAAGGCGTCGGCGAAGTTATCCCCGTCCTCGGTCATACAAGCTTG